ATAAGAAAATTTGGTAATGGCGCCACTACTTTTGGATTGCCCTAAGTAGAAAGTCAAACAATTGGGTCCATTTCGTACTTCATATAATTGATGTCAACGCTATGTAAAAATCTTCGATTACGAGGTATCGTCAAAACTATTTCTGGCATTATATAAATCATCTATTGAATTCGATCAGTGTAATTTTAAATATATAATATACCAGATGATGATTTATAAAATAACAACATTTACACTTCAAATATGAAAATTTTAAAACAGAAATTCATCAAAAGTTGTTTTTTTTTGTGATGAGATCAAAGCTGTTCTTCAGAAAACGCTAAATTTCACTAGTACTTTCAAAATATTTTTCCGTTGTCAGGAGTCTTGAGTTCCAGCGCGAATTACAAGAAAAACACAGTATCGTTTTCAATGGTGTAGAAAAAAGTTTCCCACTTGTATAGCTGGAATTAACTAATTTATTATCTGAACAAGAAGATTATCGTACCGTTTGAGATGAAAAAATCGAAGTTTGACCTTTAGTAATATTTCCAATAATTTTTATAGTCATTAGATTACATGTTGTAAACTTAATCGAATAAGTCGATTCATTATTGAAAAATAGATAAATTATGATTGGATTATATCATTGCGATGAATTGCCCGTGCGACGAATTGTCTATGTAACCAATTGTCCACAACGAATTATTCTGCGTTGAATTGTCCTAGTACCGAAGTTTGTGATGAAGACATTTTTTTTGTTCAATTAAACTTGGTTCATCCGCTGTATCAAATACTGATGAAGTATTATTCGTCAAGCTAATTATACAAAAAAACCTGATTAGATCCAGTCAAGTTTTTATTTGTTGGTTGATCGACGATATATTCGAATAATTAATTCTTCTTGAGTATAACAACGATAAAAATATTTGAGTAACCCTTAAAATTGATTGAAATCAATATTTATGAGAAAAATAAAGCTCATTAAAAATAAAACGATGAATTGACGAATTAATTAATGCAGTCCTTTGCCAGGTTTTTCCTTCATTCTGAACGTAGTCATCAAAAGTTATCATTGTCTGTCTCAATGATATCAAGAAGTGGAAGTCAGAAAATATTCGTTCAAACGTGACAATGAAATCTCATGATCAAATTGATAACATCCGTTTTCTGATCTTTAATATTGTGTCCCATTTTCGTATAGAAAACCACCCAAAAACGACAAGTTTTTGTAGGTTTTGTTTTATTCAAGCTTCGAGATTATCGAAATGAAGACAGTCATAAAAGTTAGCTAACACTCTCTTTACTTATAGCAAAGACAACCAGTGAATATAGTTGATGATCAACAATGAATTAGAGACAGAGTCAAGGGATCAATCACAAGTATTCTGTAAAATCATGTTAGTATTCATCAATCGAATTTGCTTAGTAATGAATTTCTCAGAGGATACTTCACAGTTTCTTTCTGGCTTCGATCATATGAATTGGTCGAAATGTAACATTTTCGGTTTACAGAGACAGAAAAAAGTCCTGATTGTAGTATAGTGTGATTATCTTTTGGAGAAAAGTATTTCATATTCAATTGTCCAAACGATTATTCATTTTTTTCCAGAAAATATCGATTTATCTATCATTTGATATCTGAAACTTCATACTACATTTTGCAACCGAGTGAAACTCGAATGCCATCTAGTTTTACTCTGATTTGCTCAGTGACTAAGGAAAAAGTATCAACAATATCATGAATCATGCTGTAATCACATATGTATGAATCATCAAATAAATGACGAACTGGAAATCCATTGATGCACTGAAAATAAAATTCAATTTGACGCAGTGATTGTAACAACATATGTAATGTATTATTGGCATCAATTATTTATGATATTTCATTTTTCTGATCAGCTCAAATTAGACCATTGGTTGTAGTGACATTTCGCTTTTGCATTGTTCTCAAGTAAACATTTGTTATGGACTTGTCACTGTAGTGTAGCACTATCCTTTGCATAAAACTTATACATCCTAAAAATAAAATATATAGGTGAAGAGACTATCTGATTTGTTACACTATTATCACAATTACTTTTTATGATGTTTCCATCAAATCTAGATGTCGCTTTACTAAATGCATTTGACATTGATTGGCATTTCTTGTCACGGTTTTTATATTACCAAGATCACGTACTTGCAGACGCGAAAAAAAAATCATTTTATATTAAAAAAAATAACATATGTTTATCCATTGATCTTCATCGTTATTTATTAATAGAAAGTTTAGACTACAGTGCATACTATGTTCGAAAGATATATTTTTACATAATTATTTTGAAAATAGTATTTTATGGGTAATCATCATTCAGTTAAACGTGAATGTTTACATGAAGCAATTCGACGAAAAGATGTAAAAAAAATCAAACAAATCGTTTATAATAATGATATAGATTTTATTAAAAATGATTTCAAATCTCTTGAACTTGCTACATTATATAATTTAACTGAAGTTGTTGAACTTCTTCTTAATCGTGGTTGTGTACCAAGAGATAAACGAACAGCACGAGCATTTGATCTTGGTAAATAATAAAATTTAAAATACTTTGTAGAATATTCAATTCTTTTTTTTTAATTTTTATTCTCTAGCTGTTTGGAAATGTCATAAAGATATTGCAACAATGTTTTTAAAAGCTGGCATTGAATATAAGGGACGAAATCAATTTAATGAAACAATTTTATTTGTTTCAGCTTGTGGAAATAATTCAACATTAACAGAAATTCTTATCGAAGGTGGTTGTGATTTAAATGAATGTACACGTAGTTGGACTGCTTTACATGTTGCTGCAGCAAGAAATCATGATGAAGTATTACGAGTACTTATTAAACATGGATGTGATTTAAATATTCGTGATCGTGATGGTAAAAAAAAAGAAAAAAACATATAATGAACTTCTAATTAATATTTTCAAATTAATTATTTGTCTCTTTTTTTTTCTTTTATCGTTAAGGTTTTAATGCTCTTATGTTGGCTATTTTAAATGAAAATCTTAAAAATATAAAACTTCTTGTTCGATGCGGTTGTTCAATAAATTTGGAAGAATTATATTCAACACCATGTCTTGCTAAACAATTAGCTAAATATCCTGAAATTGAACGAATACTTTGGAATGAATGTACACGTGCAAAAAATTTAAAAGAATTATGTCGTTTTCGCATACGTTCATCATTAGGACAACGAACATGGAAAAAAACATCACAATTACCATTACCAACACGATTAAAAGATTATGTTGCATTAAAAGAATTATTTGTTTCATGTGAAGAACAACAACAACAACAACAACAACAAATAACATTGACACGATCTGCTCGTATGAATCTTCAAGCAATTCAATCATCATAGTCTATTTTTTATGTATTTTTGTTTGTTTGTTTGTTTGTTTGTTTCTTTAAATGACTAGTCATATTGAATGTTGTCAATTGTTTTAATCTTATATTCATGTATAAATATTTCTAGATAAATATGTTAACAGATGTATCAACAAAAACAGTTTTACCTACATCAACTATTGAATGGGCTATGTGGGCTAATGAACATGTTTTATTAACCGGTTATGTTTTAGCAATATTCAGTATTTTAACAATTATTTTTCAATTTTCATTATGGCAAATAGCTATTTATGGACTTATACTTGCATTATTTATTATTCTTATTGAATATCCACGTAGTGGACGTATTGTTAAAAAATCAAAAGCACGACCATTACAACAATATCCATCAGTATTACTTACAAAATTAGGTCCATTAACTCGAAATTATTTTATTCGTTTTGTTATATATATTTTACTTAGCCTTCCTTGTCTTTTTCTTATGTCAACTATTTCACCTGCTATATCATTAATAATTGGTGCAGGTGCTTATGGTTTAGCTGCACTTCGTCAAGAACAATGGAAACCAGTTGAGCCAACAACAATAAATGGCACAGTACCAATGCCAACACGACCTCCTCCACGTGCACCTATGTATCATACTTCGTCAAATGCTTAATTTTTGTAAAAAAATTATTTTTTTTGGCATTACAAAAATTGCATATTATTTTGTTATTTTAAATAAATTTTATAATTTTCGATATTTATCTTCAAGTATTAGTTTTCAAATAAAACATAAAACAAACAAATCTCTTTGAAATTTTTGTCAACATTATTCGATGAAAATCATAAGAAAAATTATCTCTAATTCCAGTCATTCTTTAACATTGCCACAAACACTTAAGATTCACAAAGACTCTAGCCAGTTTCATCATATTATCATAAGCCCACAATATTATATGAAACTATTCATCTCTCTAGATGTGCTCTATTGAATACTAGTAGAGTATACTGATAATATCCATCAGTTACACTCAATGATTATTTATGTGCATAGACCATTCAGAGGTGCATGTAAACGGTTGTTGGCTAAGTGTGGTTCGCTCGAACTCCATAATGTTATGCATTCATAACGAATAATCGAGTCATGTCCTTTTAGAAATGCGTTGAGAACATTTGATACAGTAAACTAATAACATCGGTCAATCATATGTAGTTGTTCTTCTTATGATAGAGTAGTTCAAATTATATATCAACATTGAATAGTGATGTAAGATTTCAAACACCTCGAAAATAGAGAATGGATAAGACAATTAAACAAAGACTAGATAAATATAGTTCAAACTAACTTATTTTCTGTTAGTTTTTGTTGTAACCAACTATTCTCTCGACTTTTCACATGCCCATAATAAACTAGTAACAACTTCGTATATTACATTTGTTGTATCAATTGGAATCTGCATGGATCCTAGGTGGTCATGTTAGAGCTAACACATTGCCTTGCAAAGCTAATCACAATGAACATATCAATCAAGTAATTGTTCATATAAGAGCTTCATCAAATTGAAATATGCAAGAACATTTTTCCATTTTCAAAAAAAAAAACGCTACGACAAGTCTATTTTATAGTGATAAGCCCCATGTACCGAAAAGCACAAAACTTCTAGTTCGAAAACCTGTTCAAACGAAAATAAAATCTCATAAGTAATAGACTTTTGCCTTTCTTCCACCGATAAATTAATCCTTAGTATCGATTATCAATAAATATCATAAACAAGTCTTTAATAATTCTCTTTTTTTATTTGTACTAGTTATATATATCTGACATAGAAAAAAATATTTTAATTATATTTAGGAACATAATATTTTTGTCCATCTTTCATAATACAACGTGTATGCATTGCTAATAAAGAATTGAATTCAGCATTCGATGTTGTTAAACTAGATAAAAATGGTTCTAATTCAGATAATGTCCAAGTATTCTTTCGAGAAAATAATGTTTTTATTCTAAAATAAAAATTTGATAATTTAATTTTTTT